GAGCGCAACGCTCGGGCGAGGCGACGCGGCACGCCGCCGCTCACCACTGCCTCACTTCACGCAAAGCCGAACACGCTTCTCAAGCCGAGTACGTTCTTGGCAAACAGCCTGCCTCAAAGCTTTGAACATGCAAACCCAAATCGCTGCTCACACACCGTCCCGTTCCATCACACGCCATCTCAGTACGGGAAGTCTTTTACGCATGTCATTGAGACATTTGTAGGGACCATACACCACCATGTAGTCCGGAGGTTATATATATAGGTATATAACCAACTAACAGGAGGTTAACCAACTAACTAATATATATACATATAACCAACTAACAGGAGGTCAACCACTAACTAATATATTATATAACCAACTAACTAATACATATATAACCAACTAACAGGAGGTCAACCACTAACTAATACATTATATAACCAACTAACTAATATATATATAACACCAACTAACAGGAGGTTAACCACTTAACTAATATATAATATAACCAACTAATATATCTATATATAACCAACTAACAGGAGGTTAACCAACTAACTAATATATATACATATAACCAACTAACAGGAGGTCAACCACTAACTAATACATTATATAACCAACTAACTAATATATATATATAACACCAACTAACAGGAGGTTAACCACTAACTAATCTATAATATAATCAACTAATATATCTATATATAACCAACTAACAGGAGGTTAACCAACTAACTAATATATACATACCAACTTGGTTGTCTCACCTGGTTTGGTTTTTGCTCAGGTTTCTTGGTTTCTTGCTTTGGTTTTTTTTGGTTTGTTTATGGCTTTGGTTTTGTTTTTAAATACGTATGGATGCTTTGACTTGTATTAACCACTAACTAATATATAATATAACCAACTAATATATCTATATATAACCAACTAACAGGAGGTTAACCAACTAACTAATATATACATACCAACTTGGTTGTCTCACCTGGTTTGGTTTTTGCTCAGGTTTCTTGGTTTCTTGCTTTGGTTTTTTTTGGTTTGTTTATGGCTTTGGTTTTGTTTTTAAATACGTATGGATGCTTTGACTTGTACACTTGGCCATCACGACTTGAAAAGCATTTCAGCCAGAACTGGCTTTTGATACAAACAAGTTACGAGGAGCTGTTAATTTGGGAGGAATTTCTACCTTTTTTTATTTAGAAGCTAAAACTGGGAAAAAACGCAAAGCTGGGTATCACCACAGCTTTGGCTGTAGCGTAAGGAAAACTGCCAGCCTGTTTCCTAGGCTATAGCATCGCTGTCACATCCTGTGGCCAGGAACGACGCTGCAGCCTAAAAGCTTTGCTAGCAGGAGGAACGTCAGACAGTCCTACAGTCCTACGTTGGCACTGGGGACCCGCGCCAAACGGGGCACCCGACCCGCCGGCAGCTGATCTTCCTGCGCCATGCGAGGCACCACGCTTCCGACAGCTGGAAACGGCCCTCGTATTCAGCGTACCACCACTGCACCGACCCATCCACAGCGTGTGTGTGTGTGTGTGTGCACAGGAGGGCCCTGAGCATGATCCGAGGGCTGGAGCACCTCTCCTCCGAGGACAGGCTGAGGGAGCTGGGGCTGGTCAGCCTGGAGACGAGAAGGCTCCGGGGTGACCTTAGAGCAGCTGCCAATGCCTGGAGGGGCCACAGGAAGGGGAGGGGAGATTCAGACTGGATCTGAGGAAGAACTTGTTTACTCTGAGGGTGGTGAGACCCTGGCCCAGGTTGCCCAGAAAGGTGGGAGATGCCCCATCCCTGGAACCATTCCAGGCCAGGTTGGACGGGGCTCTGAGCACCCTGATCTGGTTGGAGATGTCCCTACCCATGGCAGGGGGGTTGGAACCAGATGATCTTTAAGGTCTCTTCCAACCAAACCATTCTATGGTTCTATGATATAATATACACATACACTGGATTTTTTTAATACATACACACACACACGAACACCCTACCTACTTAACTGGAGTGTTTTCAGGGAATGATGGCACGCGGTGGCAGAGCATTTTCTTACACTTTGGGACCAGGGTCTGCTGCGCAGCACTGCGATAGGAACTGGCACAAGGCAGGAAATTGAGACGTGTTCAACGGCACAGCTCTTCCATCTCACACCAGTAGCTCCCTTCTAACTTTTCCAGTGCGACTGTGGGAGGGAGGCTGTGTCTCAACAGCTTCCCCGACACACCCACACATTGTTCTCCGGGAACAGGATGTTAGAAAATTAATAGGGAAATGAATGATATTTTTTTCTACGTTTATTTTTCTTCTTTAAAAGACAAAAAGTTTATTCACAAGAAAACGAGACGTGTTTTATAAACATCCTCTTCTCAAACCTATTGTGTCTCACCCTATGAATTCCGAAATTTGCTATATACACATCAGGTCTTCAAAATCTTTCATAGTTAAGAGAAAACCTAAATCCAAAGCATTTGCCTTTTCTTTTAACTTTCTATGCTTGTGCTCCAAAATAATTGTCTGGTATGAAACCCAGTAAAAGCAAGTGTTTGCACATTAACGAAGAATATGCCCAAACCTTCTAATCCTAATACACAAACAGTGCCAAACACAAAAGACATGTAGGAGGACGCTGCAAGACGCGACAGCTGATGTTCTTGGAACAACTGCTGATGACTAATGCATCTTATCCCAGCCAGCTTCAGCAGCGCTGGAATTTTTTGGTTTTTTTTTTTAAGTTATTTTTTATTTTCTAGAAAGCTGCACCCCTTCCATCATTTTGCCAGAGGATGGTAAAAACCCACCCTTGACAACCCCACCTTTCAGCTAAGCAGTGCACAGCCAGATAAATGTCTCACTGTACCTAAAGTTCCGAAGCTGGCTGAACCTGTACTAGCAAAAGCACCATTTTCTAAACCGAAGGAGGCACACGAAGCAGAAACACTCTCCCAAGCACCTTCATCCCTGGGCATTTCTTTTCACCCTCTTCTGTTCTGAGCTGGTGCCCTTCAGGACAAGGAAGAATTTGCACTCACTGGAGCAGGCGCAGGACGAAGCTCTGGGACCCGTGTTACACAAACGGACTCCACGGACAGAGATGGGTCTGCTCCCTCCCCCCTGCCACGGCACTGGCAATGTTACTCGACTCCAACGAGCACTCGGAGCACAGCTTCAAGAATTTGCCTTCCACGGCTTCCTGGCAAGCCAACGTGCCACTCAATTTTGCATCCATCCTTCCCACATCTTTCACCACATCCTCATTACAAAAAACGCACACACACACTCCCCCCCAGTCTTGGGAATGGGAAGGAGAAAGCCCATAATGCATACACCAAAATCCAGGAGGAAATTCTTAGATGAAGGAAAATTGAGCCAGGCCAACCTCACATTCCATAAAATATCACCCATAATTGCTATTCTCAAAAAACCCTTTTCCCTGAGAAGCAAGGGCTGCTTCTGCAGGATTCCAGTTAGGTGGATTACCCATACGTGTAACTTTTAGAAATAAGTCACTGAACCTGGAGCAACAGCAATTTTCATTAAAAGGAACACCCTGCACACACTTGGGAAAGAATTCAGCTATCAGGTAATTTGATCCTGCAATTTCATATTAAATATAGTTCAAAAGAAAGGAAAGTCAGTGAGACAAATCAAAAAGGAATGGCCGCATTCAGCAGTCACTCCTGCAGATTCCAGATCAAATCAATGCTACTTCATAAAAACATGTGCTCCCCCCTCTTTGTTTTTAATGCTCAAGACAGTACACTCCAATGGTCTCTGTCAAAGTGAGAACCTCAAATACGAAAACATCTGCAAGCCTCAGGAATAATCCGGATTGCCCAACCAGAGACTTACTTCCTTGGAGCTTCGTGCCGTTGTTTGTGTTTCGTATCAGCTGGAAAGCCTTTTGAAACCCCAGCGCATGCTGCGTCGGGCTGTCAGATGACTTGATACTGCTGACGAAGGTGGACATCTTCCTCTTTGTCTCGCTAGTGGCAGGAGACAGAAACGTCTTATAGCACTGATCCAGGGAGCAGGTTCTTACTGTGTCTGCCACGGTCAACACGGAGATCTTGAAAGAGAAGAAACTATATTGGATTACCTTACCATTTATAATTCTTTACGCACCGATATAGAAAACACAATGATAAGCCCACTGAAGAGATTCCGTGGATTTAAAACTCAATTGTTAAAAAATAAATGCTTGAGGCATAAATCCATCAAATCTGAAAAGGATTAGACTTCTGGTGATTTCGAGAAAAAGGGACTTCAGTCTTTGTTTCTCAGACGAAGTCAGCTTCACTCTGCTCGTACATAATAGTTAATACACTGTTCTGCGCAGCAGACGGAGCGAACTGGAGATAACTGAAACCAAGATCAGCAGAGAGCACTTTCAGAAAAGCCTTGAGTGCTGATGGAAAGTGAAGTGCATACAGAAAAGGGAGAAAAAAAGCCCCAAACCTCCAAGCACTTCTCACAGGCAAAGCACTGTGTTGTCTTAGCGCTTCAGTCAAACCAAGCCAAACCTACCGCCCATTTTTATCCTGTCAGTTAAGTCATGCAATGGTAACATTTGCATTAATAGACACATAACATATCAGCCTTCTTAAATGCGTGGCACACTTTATTATAAATTATGGCTGATGCAAGACAGTCACAGAATTAGGCAGCAATTTTATGCTCGTATAACAGGTTTCATAACCATCGAGCTACTGCCCAAGTACTGTCTAAAATGTATTTTCTTCATTATAGGTCTATATTAAGACAAACACTTTTGACACTTCAATTTAAGTACTAGTAATTCTGCTAAACTATAAACTTTCATTTCATAGCATTAAAAGTCTCTAAAAGCACAGAAGTTAGAAAGGCTTTTCCCGTACTATCAAGAGAAGACTTGAGGCAAAGGTTATAAGCAGTAGTTCTTCAACTTGATTTGACTGAAACTCCCTATCAAAAAAAAACAACCCAAAAAAAAACAAGCAGAAAGAATCATCAGGGTGCCACTAACAGAGAATTACTAAAAGCAATGACAAAGCTGGAGACTGCTTGTGATCCTATAGAAGCACCTTATGGGCCCCTGGTTGGAATCCCTACTCAAAAAAAATTGCGGGTTAAGTGACTTTCTCATTGTTGAGTGGGGTATCTGTGGCAGAGCAAGAAACAGATTCCAGATTTCTTGGCCCTTTGGCTTTAGCCTTTTCTTGCTGGTATCATGCTCGTCTGGGAACCTTCCAAACACTAATAATGTTTCAGCTCACTCCAGCATAGCAGCAGAATCAATAATTTCAATTTTCACATGCAAAAAAAGACAGTCTCAGAAGTAAAATGAGTTGCTCAAAGCAACCTAGTACTTCTGAAGCCATCAGGCTTGGAGGATGGTTCTCCTAATTGCACACTGTATCACGCTGCTGACCATCACCCAAAGTCTCTGCTGAGATGAAGGAGCCTTTAAAGATTACTCAAAAACAAGATTTTGCCTTAGATCAGTGGTCTTCACTTTTCTCCAGCCTGCGGATCCCCAGATGTTTCCCCTGCAGTAATACAGGCATCCAAAAGTGAGCTCAAGTCTTCGTCACCCATGAGAGGCAGACAACAGATCCCCAAGAGTCCATGGACCACAAGTTAAAAACACCGCTTTGGAGGAAAATGGAAAACATTGAGCATGGCTGAAACCAACGAAAATCCACTCATCGCTTGGCGAGCGCTTACCTTATCGTGTTCGTCTATGGAGCTCAGAATAACCTGAGCAGCGTCCTTGGCAATCTGAAGCTGTGTCTCTGTGACCGAAGCCCCATGGTCCACAATGACGACGATATGCTTGGACTGAGGTCGAACGGTAGAAACATAGACAGGCCTGAACGAGAAGAACACCCAAATCAATGTCAGGAGCCATCCTGCAACTTCCACGTAAATATTTACAAGTGCAAATAGTTGAGAATTAAAAACAAAAAAAACCCCAGGAAGAAACAATGAATTATAACAGGAATTTTTGTCTTTATGAAAACTTCTACTGAGAGAGGACCTTATAAATGCCGATAAATATCTGCAGGGTGGGGGTCAGGAGGATGGGGCCAGACTCTTTCCAGTGGTGCCCAGCGACAGGACAAGGGGCAACGGGCACAAACTGGAGCATGGGAAGTTCCAGCTGAAGATGAGGAAGAACTTCTTCCCTCTGAGGGTGATGGAGCCCTGGCCCAGGCTGCCCAGGGAGGCTGTGGAGTCTCCTTCTCTGGAGATATTCCAGCCCCGCCTGGCCGCGGTGCTGTGCAGCCTGCTCTGGGTCTAATGTTCTGTGATACACGAGCTGAGAATCTGAACACACAGAAGAGGCCCTCGCTTTCACTCTCTCTCTGATTTCTTTAACCCAAGTCAGGTGTCAGATCCTTCTCCCTCTGTCACAGCACCCACTTTCAGCTAGGAATAAACTATTTCGCTGACGTAGCAGCAGTGTCTGGGATTGCTGTTTGCTGCAGCTCGCAGCAAGCTTTGGATTAAAGGCCGACAAGCAAGAAATGATTCATGATAAATGTTAGGTGCCGGGAACTTTACTCATGTAAAAGCAAGCGCAATAGCGGGTATTTACTAGTTATGTGATGAGTAAAAACCTGTGCAACAGTGCAGAGTTGCATTAGCACGGGGTGTTCGGTTTGTTGCAATAAGTGAAGGCTTCTGGACAAGAAAGGGTTTTCTCTCGGTGCCCTGGAATTCACCTTACATGGGTCATGCTCCACAACCCCTTGGGTCTGCGCAGCTTTAAACCCCTGGCCAACCTGGGCTGACTCTGGTAATGGCTCCCAGTGCCACCACGTGTCTGTCTGTGCTGACATCGAAAAACCTATTGCCAGTGAAGCCATGCCCAGATCCAGGTCAATATTGTGAGCGATGTGTGAAAGATTTCACAAGCTGTCGCACCAAGGTTTCAGCCTGGAACCAATTAGGAAGATCTTCAGCAAGGAGGACTAATAAAAAAAAAAAAAAAGACAGAAGACACTTCCCTCCTTCTCCCAGACCCAAAACTAGTTAGCGTCAAGTGTGAGTTTGCGGATCTAAATTTTATTATATCCAAGGCAGCCACAGAAATCTTACTGAGAGTAAAGCAAATGCAGAAGACTTTAGACAAGGCACTGCAATAAACAACTGGCACAAATCAGTTCTTAATTGCAAAACAGCCTGCAGCTCTACACTGGTATTAATAGCTAGAACTTAAATAGGGCCTTTGATCTTCAAAGCACTTAAGTATGAACTAATTAATCCATCCAAACTACCCTCTGAAGTAAATATTAGCAAAAAGATATCCCTTATTCAGCCATGGAGAAACTGCGATCCACACTAAGTGATCTGGATGAAATCACCAATGGTTTTAGCGTCAAAATTCTGATCAAGATTGGGGTACCCCTGGCTCTCACGTCTTCAGACCGCACCTTTCCAAGACCACAGAAAACTTAATCAAGCCCAGACGCTTCAAGCTTTGATGACATGTAGAAGATAGCATCTATAAACATTTGATTGCTCAACACAGACAGGTAACCAAACCACTTTTTAGTCTCTGTACGCTCAGCTGTGTCGAAACGGACTTGGATGTGCCGATATTTCCTCTGCAGAGATTGATTAACTGGTACAATTAGCTTACGTGTGACCAGAGATACTGAACCAACTGCACCTTCTCCGAAGATTCCACCCTGGAGTCTTGATCAGTCCCTTAATATTGACAGCAAAGATTAGGGAAAAAGTACTGCATGGCAACTGCTCTGCGTCATGCCTACAGAATGGGAATATTCCCTGAGCAAAAAACCCCCACATGACCATTTGATCCTTTTTATCTACAGTTTTCTTTGTAAAAACAGAAAGTTTCCACTATTGCAGCTTCCCTGCTACCCACGACGTGCTACTTGAACCTTGGGTGGAGACTGGAAAAACGCTCCCACCTCTGCCCTTTCCAGGCTCTCATCCTCCCACCCAGCCTGGCACCCCCAAAGCGATGCACCTGCCAAGTCAGTAGAAAACATGTTCACTACTTTATTAACGGGGGTCAAGTATGAGCCAAATACAGGACAAATTTTGCCTGTGGGCTGACCCACAATTTACCAGTTATTGCTATTCACAGCTTATTTGATTTGGGAGAGGTGAGGAACCTGTATGTAATTTCATTTTACTTCAAAGTTCCTTAAAAGTGAAAACTGGTGTGTTAAAAAACAAACCTAAGAAAATCCAAGGGACCCCATTAAAAGTTACTGATGAATGCTGTCGCCTTGCCAAAGCGTAACGCTGACCTGCAATCGGTGCTTGAGGAATCCAACTTTAGTGCTTCGCTCTCTAAACTGTAAGGAGACAAATCCTACCTGCTGCGGTGTTCATAGCTGCCTTTGCACCGGAACTTGTGGGCTGGGAAAACGGTGAAAATGCCTTCTTCCGAGCTGAAATACTGCCATTTAATTCCTGGGTTCGACTTCAGATTATCAGCAAGAACTGAAAGATGGAGAGGAACAAGGAGAACCGGAGTTACAAATCGAGGTCGAACGTGGAGGTACGTTTATTCAAGGCCTCTCTCGTACACGCTTGGAGAAGAACAACCTGGGTCCCAACACCGGCTACAAGCAGCTCTACTTGAGGATTCATAGAGCTTCGTGTCTGATTTGCAAATGGTTAAAGGCTTTTGGAAACTTAACGCTGGACTTGACAGGTTTTGTTTAATATGTGATGACAATTCCTGCATCCCTGGAGTATAACCCGGGCCCAAGAAGCCAAGGCAAGAGCAAGGAAGGAAGAGATTAAGGCAATTATATATAATCTGTATACATACCTACATTTACATGTAATGCTAAACACATTGTCCACATAGCTGTCATAAAGAAAAAAACCTTAATGCTAAAAAAAATCAGGTGGTCTTTATAGTAAATAACTCCAAAAGGTTAACGAGGTTTGCTGCTTGCAGCTCTGTAAGCCAATCTGTTAACATCACCTAGTCTGACAGCTGTTTAAAAATGTCTCCACAAACACTTCGCATAAATGGTTTTACACGCAAGTGTGGGTTGAGGAAAAAGCCACCATGCAGAAATAGTTGAAAAGCTTTTTTTTTAAAAAAAAAAAAACCCAGACAATCCTTCCTCTCTGTTCACCGTGCTCTCCTGTTTGTGTAAGGGTAGATAGGTACAGCTACCAGCTCCCGGGACTCAAGAATTTCTCCAAGGCTTCTCGTTATCCCTGTGCCATCATTAACAATGCTGTGGGCCCATCGTGTATTGCTTGGGAGGAGAAATGGCCACTTTTTGGGGAAAACACAGCCTCTTCCCTCAGCGGGTTATGCTGGGGCCACACAGGCGCTGCCTGGTGGGTGGTGGCTCCGTGCTGGTTCCACTCATCCTCGCCGAGAGCATCTCCACCAGGTTCCCCTCTTCAAGATCATAAAATTCAGAAAGAATGCTAATAACAGCTCTCAGCAGCTGTATCGCAGCTTCCCTCCAAGTCTCTCAGAAACTCCTCTGTGGCAGGTGGTTATTAGTAACTCATTACAGTGACAAAAAGCGAAGAACAAGGAAGGTAAATGACATGTTCCCAATGCGTGCAGTCAAGCAGGAGCCGCACTCAGAATACAACCGTAGGGTACAGATCTCAAATCCTCCTGTAGTTTATAGGCCACATTAATTCTTTTTAAAGTGCGCTTACTTTCCTATTAAAATAATCTTCAAGGAAGCGCTACTTAACACCAACAATAAAAGCCTTTCAAAAGCTACAGTTTTGCAATATTAACAAGACTGACAACATCAGTAAAAAACACAAAACGCGGCCAAAACCAACAACCAAATAAAGCGGCTACCCCTGGGCCGAGACCGTCTGTACTAATAACTTATAAGATATTTAATACACCATGCTGGAGAGCAGCTCTGTGGAGAGGGACCTGGGTGTGCTGGGGGACGACAAGCTGACCATGTGCCAGCAGCGTGCCCTGGCTGCCAAGAAGGCCAAGGGTCTCCTGGGGTGCATCAACAGGAGTGTGGCCAGCAGGTCGAGGGGGGTTCTCCTCCCCCTCTGCTCTGCCCTAGGGAGGCCCCATCTGCAGTGCTGTGTCCAGTGCTGGGCTCCCCACTTCAAGAAAGATGAGGAGCTACTGGAGAGAGTCCAGCGGAGGGCTGCGAGGATGGTGAGGGGACTGGAGCATCTCTCCTATGAGGAGAGGCTGAGGGAGCTGCGCTTGTTAGGGTGACGGAGCCCTGGCCCAGGCTGCCCAGGGAGGCTGTGGAGTCTCCTTCTCTGGAGATATTCAAGACCCGTCTGGACGCGGTCCTGTGCACCCTGCTCTGGGTGACCCTGCTTGGGCAGGGGGTTGGACTGGGGGATCCCCAGAGGTCCCTGCCAACCCCCGCCATCGTGGGATTCTGTGAAGCCAAACCAACAGAGTGGGTGGCTGTCGTGGAAATCCCAAGCACTTGGAGCCCAGGTGGGGACAATGGTGATCGAATCACCCGAGGCAGCGGCGGCCCTGCGATTTCTGCCTCGTAGGGCGATGGAAACGTCCCAGCTGCCACTGCTCCCTGTGCGAGCTGAAGGGATCGGAGCCCAGCCCACGCACCCGCCAGCTCTGCCGGGCTGGTGGCATTAGGCAGCCGCAGGGAAAGCAAGGGGGAAAACAGTCCCAGCAGAGAGGGAATGGGAAGTCCTTAGCACGGGAGGCACAAACCTTCTCACCATCACGGCATGAACAGGATTATATTCCACTCGGGGCACATCACTGTCTCTGCCTCCCGCAAACTGAAAATAAAACTGGAATGTTTAAATTCTTTAGTGTTTACCTAACAGTTAAAATGGATCACACCAGCTTAAAAAGCATTAAAAAAAAGGATTTTCCTGCCATTTCTCCTTTGTGATCTTTGATTATAAAACTCCCCAGAACCGGCAGCAGGCAGCTCTGCCTCACAGTGCTTCACCTTGTGCTGAGCATTCACCTTTGGCACTTCCCTTAGGGCTGGCACTGAAAATGGGCCAGGCAGTTTCATCTCCTGGATCTCACTCCTTATCAAACACGGCAATATTTGGGTTGGAAATCACCGCAGGACAAATTGCAGCCCTATCCAGATGTTCTGCAACAAAATACCCACACCGAGTACAGTTCAAGTTCAACATCCTCAACAGTTTAGCACGTTCTCGAGTTTCCCAGCCTGGCTGCGGCCACGATGTTCTCTCCACATTCAGCTCAGCGTAATTACCCTGTAAAAACCACTATCTTGGCGGGGTTTTCCCCCTCCCCTCTTTTTGCCACGGTTTTCTGTGTTTCTGCAGTGGCTAAAAGTCCCAGTGGAAGTCCTGGTGGCACCACGCTGGACTCGGTACAGAGACGCAGCTTGGCACGCTTGGGGTTTTGAAGAATTTGGTGCCTCGGTGGATGAGATGAGGAGCAGGAGGACCAAGGGAGAAACAAGAACAAGACATGAAATGGTTGATGAGGGTTTTCGCAGTGCGTTAATGACTGAGTTTGGGACCAGAACTACCCTCGCTCACACCTCCCACTTTCTCCTCCTTCAAAACACACCAATTTGACTCCAGCAAGGATGCCAAAGCTCATTCCTCTCTCTGCCCCCGTGCACAGGTAAAATCAACCCGGTGATACTCTTGGGACCAAGCATCTTTTTTTCTCAAGAATTTTCACGCTTTCAAAGAAACCACCCATGATCTTGCAACCCAAAATCAAACAAATTTGCGAATATTGTTTGTTTAACTCAAGTTCCCCCTAAATTTCTCCTAAGTCCTTGTTTTGGTTTTACACCTGATACGATAGCAGCTTAGCAGCGCCATTTCTGTTTTGTAGGAAGAGCAGGTTTCTCTGGTCACGGACAACAGTTTCTGCGCAGCAGGGACACAAAGCAATGTGAAATTTTAATATTGCCAAATTTAGGGACCACGGAAAACTTAAGGCAAAAAATCAATTTTAATTAAAAAAAAAATAAACCTAACCCATACAGAGTTTCTAGGTTTCATAGCTAGGACTATCAGAAATTCCTCTCTTCACCCCCATCCAAAGCACCCATCCCCTTCTCCTCTCCGAAATCTTGTCTGGGAAAACCCAGATTCAATCCTGAACCCATTGAGGGCTTGGCAGCCCGACCCTTTGGAGAAGGTGCCGCACCGGCACTCACAGCCCACCAACTTCTCCCGTGCGGGAACACGTTGCACGGCCACAGCTGTGGGAATCCAGGAAAGTATTTGATAACCCTTTATTAAGCTGCAAAGAGAAGCCGGGAAGAAAAACCTTTAAAAGTATCAAAACCTTGGAAGGAAAAAAAAAAAAAAAAAAAGAAAAAAAAAGAAAATCATAACTAAATATATTTTTCTTAACCCACACTGTCTTCTGGCAGTGTATGACAATCAACATCATCCATTCTACTGCAATACACAAAAATTAGAAAAAGCTGATACAACTACACTTTGAGACAAAAAAGGCCACCAAAGTGCAGGCACACCCCCACCACAGCTGAGCTGCTGCTTCATGGACCGCACCGCCTCGCAGGCAGGGAGGGACCGGAGAGTACCGAGCATTGAAACCCTCCTTCTTATGGCTAGCCACCGGGATTTCTTGGCTTTGGAGGTGATGTATGGCAACTGCTCTGTATAAAGTGGCTGCATTTCTGGTATTTAAGTTTCTGTTATTGGTTACAGAACCTGAAAAATGTATTTTCAAATCAGACCCGTGAACACTCAGTTAAAGCCTGCATGAAATAACTTCTCCAGTTTAAATTCACCAACAACATTAAAACAAAGGAGTTTCTAATTAAAAGGGTTTTCTTTTTAGTCATTGCTATATTAAACTTCCCAATCCCACACGGCTATGATTTGCATTTATTTCCCCACAAGAGTATCTGGATTTAAACGTATTCATTTTCCCCATAAAAGAATTGTTTTTGAACCTCTAACAAACTCCTTACTGCCTCGGTGCCTCTCTCGGCTGTTCCTCCTGTTCAGAAAGTTCTGCTCATGTTTTCCTTCAGCTAGTAGGTTGGTTCAGTAATGCCTTCCCCAGAGACCACCAATTTTATCGTAACTCTTTGGGTTTGGGTTTTTTTTTTTCCTCTTTTTCCTATGACCACAGCAGACAATCTCCCAGCAGATAAGCCGTGGCTGAAAACCACGTACTTTTTCTCTTTAAGTGCACTTTTCTTTTCCATCCCCTAAAGCCGTAAGAACGCCCTGCAGCCATTTCCTCGCGTCTTGGGCCCTGCCAGGACACCCAGCAGATGCTCTTTTTTAGCCTAACCTCACTTACCCCAGACTTTCCACTCACTCGCTTGCCTGTACCTCATTCTCCCCTCTTCCTTCCAGCACAGCCAGCCTCTGGACAGGTTACACAACCGAAAGACCCCAACAGAATCCATACCGTAAGGCCAGCTGCCCACCTAGCCTCTAGCTAAAGGCTAAATTTGTCAAAATTACCCCCCTGGCAGCACTAGCAGCAATGTGTGCAGGGCACCTCACTGGTG